TTTTTTTCTCAAAAATTGGTTTTTTGAAGCATTTTTGCATTTCCTTCTTGTTTAGGAAAACCGATGATTCGAGTTCTGATTCCACTGATCAGATTTACGAAAGCTTGGAAGCGATTCATGTGTTTGCACTAGCCCATGTACTGAAAAGGCCTATAATAGTAGTGTCGGATACGGTATGTTTATACTTTTTTTGCGCCAAAAAGAAGGTTATGGTGCCATCGTACAGGTACTTCGTAATGCCAAAGGAGAAGAATTGTCACCGGTCTCGTTTGGAGGAATCTATTTACCCCTAGAATGCCCGTCAGAACAATGTCACAGGTAATCGTTTTTGACATTTTCTCTGTTTTTATGATTTTTGATCATCTGACTTTGTTCAAGGTCTCCGCTGGTATTGTGCTATGATTCGGCGCATTTCTCACCATTAGTTCCGATGAGGCATGACTCATCGCAAATGCGTGAGTTGTTTGATGGTGTTTTGGTGGAATTTATTAGTTTGGTTCGGGGGAAATGCGCGTTTGTTTTAGAGATCATCCCGATAACAGACATCAATAGAAATCTACTCCCTGTGCATTTTGCTATCGATCCTGGACCAGATTTTAGTTGGTTAGTTGTGCTTCAGAGTTTGTTTTATATTTTATTTGTAGTTTTGTGAGTCTTTTTCTGAATTATGTTTTTGTCAGGAAAGAATGTGCTTCATCTTCACAAAAAATGTGAGAATCAAACCCTACTCTTCAACTCTCTAGTTTTTATGAACCTTTTCTTTAGTTTCGGCTTCTAGAACAGTGCATGTATTGTTAGGAAACTGTGAATGTCGTAAATGTGGTCAGAATGTGATTGTTAAGGGAATAAAAATCTATTAAAGGTGGAGCGATGATGACGATGCATCGATGGCGGCGCGGCTTGCGATGACAGATGGCGATAAACTAGCGCTATTGAGCGAATACATGGATCTGGTGAAAATGGACGTGCGAAGGGGAAGTGTGAAGAAAACGAGACCAATCCGTACCACACAGTCATCAACAGGAGGAATGGATAAAAGTATGACATTGGCTAGTAGCGGTTAGTAGGTCAATTTTAGCGTGTTGGGACTCGTGCTCGTATTGTTGTGCTTTGCAGTGTAAAATCTAGATCATCTTGATTTGCGCGCATGGGCCATACTTAACATTCAGGGGGTTATACAAATGTATAACTTTG